TGGCTCATAAGGCCCGTTGACCTCAACAATACTCCGATAATACAGCCCTATTTCGCGAGAATGTTCAAGACAACAAATACTCGCGGCCAGATCCTCCGGAAAAGATAATAACAAAACACAATCATATATACGCCTCTCTAGCTATATACACACGTCCCCCCCTTCCATCCACCTCTCCCTCCCTCTCCAACACCCCCAGCCTAACAGCCCACCCTACTCCCCCCCACAACAACATCATCATACCAAACCGTATTAGCATCCCCCCCATAACTCTCCCACCCAAAATAAACCCCCTGAATCTTCGGTGCCTTCATCCCCCTCCCCCACCCCTGCGCATTCGGATTACTCACCCCGTTCCCCACCGTCAATCCAGGTACCGTCACATTATTCAACCAGGTAGAAATACTGCCATCGCTGCCCAGCCGGTACTCAAAGCACGTCCACGCGTTTGTAGGCAGTGCTTTTGACGTGGCGATGCCTTGCGGGGAGAGGTCTGGTAAAGTAGCGTCGTCGGATTCGCGGTTGTACATGAGGATTTTGGATTGGCCGCCTATGCGGAGGTGCTTGTTTGTGCCGAGGGTGGGGTCGGGCATTGTGATGAGGGTGATGTGGGAGTCTGTTAAGGGTTTCTGGATTTTTCTGGAGTCTCCCCGGACCTAATCTGTTGCTTTACTCGCCAAATCTTCTCTCTGAATCTGCTGCTGTTTTCTATTCTCATGCATGATGTCTTTTTGTTTGGGTTTGATAGGGGAAGAAGAAGAAAGAGAAAGAGAAAGAGACAGAGAAAGAGAAAGAGAAAGAGTAAGAGAAACAGAGACCAAACATACGAATGCGTCCTAACAAACACATCCCCACTCGTCGGCACCTTGGTCGTCCCAACAAATATGTGTCCGCAAAACCCGCCTGCGCCATCGACGCGAATGCTGTTCTTGCCCGTGTGTGCGGTAGTCGTGTCGAGGCTGACTTTGCCGCCTTGGTTGCAGTCTGTGGCGTAGATGGGCCAGGCGGTTTTGTCCCACCCGTTTTCGAAGCCTTCGCTGACTTGGGCGGTGATGGTTAGGGGGGCGAGGGCCGCGAGGGCGAGGAGGGAGGGCTTGGAGAACATGGTTGATGGGTATGAGAAGAGTTGGGGATTAGCAGTGGAGAGGTGGTGGAGGGATATAGAGAAACAGCAAGGTATTTATCTATATATTCTGGTCTAAATGAAAGTGACCGCCATTGCCTAAGCTTTTTGTCTCCGGTGCAGTTTGGGTATAGTGGTGAGGCTTAACTTGTATTGGCTTGTTTCCAGCAAATATATGATGGGGGCTGCGTTCTGGGCTAAACCGACTCGTCCCTACAGTGCTTTGCCATGTACCCTGCTCGTCATCGGGTTCTCGCTCCGTTTAACCTTGTGCCAGTTAGATTACTTTGAGATTTAGCGTGGTACACGATTATATTGCAAAACGTCACATGAGAGGAAAGATCAGCCATGAACTTTCCACAAGGACTGATTGTTCGCATCTAAGGTGTAGATTGCACCGAACCAGAGTTTGGGGTGGTTGTCATGTCGTTGTCGGGTCGATGTCGGGTCATTAGATGACCGAACACCCCACCAAAGTAAGCACTATATTTTGGGAGATTCTCTTTATTTCTTGATATATGACTACGCAAGCTCGTGTTTTGGGAAAACTACGTGATACCACCAATCAGCCGGTACTGCAATTCGGCCTTGCTCTTTATAAATCAGAAAGTCGCTGAGAATGAAAAAGACGCCATGAAGGACCAAAAAAGGGAATTGCGGTAGACCGGCTTTCCGATGCAACGAAGTAAATGCAAAGAGAACAGGGGTATGTGTATCCACCATGGAGCATATTACATATTGTACGGGACCGGCCTATTTGAGAGAGTTAAGAGAGAAGAAAAATGGTGGATTTGGGTATGACGGT